AATGATTGTTTTGAAAGAATATGGATGAAAATGAGCACTTCAGAAAAGTTAGAGGATTTTTTTGTTTGACATTAAACCGACAAGGGAGAAGGGACCCTCAAGATCAAAATTTCCTTGCTTTTCGTTTTCTTTCCTAATCTTAAACCAAAATTATTGGAGAAAGAAATTATAATTACAGATTTACAGATTTGAATATAAATATTGAATTTCACTTTCAAATTCATTAATTTCGAGTTTTTCGGAAGTTCCTTTTGATAATTTTGTTCATTGATTTCGATGATACTTCGCAGCTTTGATTAAAGTTCTTTTGTGGGTTATGATCGTTATTTAGAAAGGTGAAAGCTTTCTCCTTTCTTTCTCTTGTTTTGACAACCTTAAAATTTCAATTTAAGCTATCGTCTTTATTGAGTTTCTTGAGAAAAATAGATAATGGGATCGAGTTTGCAGCAGTGGGAATCAGACCCCCTGTTCTCAGCAGCCGAAGTGATTCAAGACTCAGCTGACAGGTTTGTGGTTTCTAAAATCTAAGGCTCACCCATGATAGTGGGATTTTGTTTTGAATGCTTGGTCATAGTTAATGGAGCAATTTGTTGCTGGTTTTTGTAAAAATTTTGGGATTTGGTTTCTGGGTCTCCTTATTTGTGTTCAATTAGGGTGAAAATTTTATATAAATTTGGAATTTATCCTATTTTTGAGCAGTTGGACTAGTGAGCTGGTTTGTGATTTAATTTTAGATAATATAAATTGGATGTGAACTCTTATTTCATCTTCATTTAGGTGTTAGAATTTGGTATTGTTATCAGTTTTTTGATATGTTGTGGTCTCATGGTAGCACTTTCCATGCATGAATTGACATCAGAAGCTAACAGTTCTATAATGATCTTCTTTAGAGTGAATTAGTGAACAAGATTGAGAAAAAAGGCATTGCTAGGCTACTTGCATGTTGCCATATTTGGATTGAATTTCTGTTGGATATAAATTTCTGATGGATATAAATTTCTGTTCTTGTATTCATTTGGGATGACTTAAATTTGGGGTATTTAGGATGGAATCAATTTTCCGCCTTCTTTTGCACGAACAAAGTTTTGTCCAAGGTGACCATTCTGATCCTAGGCTGCTTACACAAATTGAGTTCCATAGGCGTGATCTTCAAACCATCCTTGAAACAGCAAAATGGCAGGTATTGATGAATGTGAAGTTTTATGTTTGTTGTTCTTCCTCTTTTTCTGGCTGCCTAATTAGCTTGTTTTGGTTGGTTCCCTAATAGTTGGAAGATTTTGAACGAGCAGTTAGCTCATCAGCTATGATGGACAAGTCTTCCACCAAAGAGTACATGGTTTCCAGACACAACCAGTTTATTAAAGCCATTAGAGAACAAATAAATCATGTTGAGGAAACCTTAGGGGAGCAACCAATGGGAAATTCTCTGAAAAATTCTGACTGGGTAGACTTAAATGAACAAGATAGAGATGGTTTGGCATTATTTCTTTCTGGGGGAAATCCTACTGAACCAGTCAACCATTATGATTTAGATGACAGCAATATCTTGAAAAGATTTCTTGATCCAGCCAGCACATCAGGTTCAAAAGATGGTGGAATGGTTGCACATGGAAGTGGGGAAATTGAAGAACTGAATACGAGCAGGGTTTCAAATATTGACAATTATTATGATTCTAAGGACCAAAATTTGAGAAAAGTGGGTTCCAGTTATTCCCCAAAATTGAGCTTAGATGCTTTTGATTCTTCTCAAGAGGCATCTACTATGCGGAATATTGAGGATAGCAGTTGGGATTTGGAAGCTTGTGGGGGCAAGGCTAAGAGCTTCTTCCAGAATAATAAGTCAAGAGGATATTATAGCAGAAAGAACTTCTTTTGTTTCCCAAATAACCTATTGAATGCATTTGGAAGTAAGGTTGCTAGGGATTATACAAAGCGGTTGAAAGATGGGGATGAGCAAGAGCATCTCCCATTATTCAGTGACACTTCTGCACAGGTAATATTTTGTTTCACTTCTCACTTTCTTTAACTCTCTCTCTCTCTCTCTCTCTCTATATATATATATATATATTTCCAGGGTGTGGGGGTAAATTTGCATTTGGGAGGTAAAGGGGTTAGTATCTGAACCTTGGTCCTGGACCTCCAAATGAGGGATAACAACCACTAGGGTGAGCCTTTCTTTAGTTCATGAGTCATGAAAAATAGTATTCAAGAGGCATGTTTGGGGATATATATAAGGTAAATAGCAGCAGTCATGCTCTGACTAGAAAATGAATATAATGCTGATTCTTTCATTGAATCATATTGCTTCTTGACCTCCTTAATGAAATTCATTCATTGAAAGGCCTCAAGAAACACTTTGTAAATCTTCAAAGGATCTGCTCTATGCATAGTTTTAGAACTATTTATACTTGCCTTTGGTTGCTGATCAATACATGGAAGCAAATTCAGTCATCTTTTATTATTTGAAAGGATTTACCAATTCCACTACAAATATCATCTTTAGCAGGGTCAGCATAGGGAAGAAGGTTTAGCACATGCAGACTGCAGTCACCTTTGGAGTAGGTTTCAAGCATCCAATGGCATTTTTTATCATGTTCAACTTAGTCAGAGATCCATGCAAATTATATTATCAGCAGTTTGTTCGCTCATAATTTTGGGTAAGAACTTCTATGTGCATGGTTTTATTACGTTTATTTTGACTTATTACTTGTGAAAATCTGATGCATTTTAGTAATACTCTCTATTTCTGGTAAGCATAATGTGAAAGGATATCGCTTTATGCTTAATCATGTAAATCTGTTTTTTTGTTTGATTTGGATAAATATTATAAATCATCCATAAAACGGGATTCCTTTTGATTGTAGTCAGTGGGTTTCTCCTTTGCTTAACAAGTCAAGAAATGATGTGAACAATGTCTTAGTTGCTATATGGAGAAAAGTTATATTTGACCCAAGAATCTGACTTGCCTCCATAAAAAGAGATACTTGAGGCGTTGAAATGTGCATCTGAATGACATGGCAATTCTAATTTTAAGCCCCTAGCAAATGTTTATGTGATAAAGATACATAGAAGAAACCTTTTTCAGAATGTTTTGCAAGTTATAAGTTTATTGCAGGTTTATCACTCAGTCTTTCAATTGTACCAAAGGATAGATGTTTCATTGTCACAGATTCATAAGATTAAATCTAGCTTTTACTTTCATCAGTCAAAAAGCATTTGTGTAGTGCTCTTTTAACCCAATGCTAAGACATGCAGTGTATGTAACTAACATTTACTGGATTATCCTCTTCATGCAGGTATATTGATACGCCAATTTGCTTGAGAAATTGCCATTCATAGTTCAATTGTTGTCTCCCTTGTATATAAGCAATATTGCAGAGGTCTGACCATGGTGTGCGAGCACGTAATGCCATTTCTCAAATCAAGCCAGACGCAAAAACCTCTTTTGGGTTCTTCATGTTCAAATTCTTGTGTTCATGAGCATAAATTTGAATTTTCATATCACCAGTCAAGCCATGTAATACATCACTGCTAGAAATGATTTTAGCAGCCATTCAATTTGATATTCCCATGGAGTGTTATTTTTTAAGTGTCCAATGTGTGGCAATTTGTTAGCATTGCCATTCAGGATTGGCCAATTAATGACTAGAAAGCCTCCAAGCCTTCTTATTTGTACTGGCATAGGGCATCTTATCATCGATTAATAAAGGAATCTGAGAGATGTGTTCCACATAATTGTGCCTTCTTCATTCATTCTGCATTCATTCGGACCGTTAAAAGAGAAGAGAATCATAAGATGGAGTTACAGGGTGCACTGAGTATCAGAGTCTGATCAACATTTTTGTTTAAGTAGTCACAATCACCAGCAATGGCATAAAAGTAATAATCTGGTGCTTAAAACGTCGCATTGCATGTCAAAATGCCTAATGTCTAGGATCCGTGAGACTCCAAGTTGAATATATCATGTTCAAACATTTAAAGTGGAGTGAAAGAACTTGAAAAAAAAAAGGAAGACCATCTCTTATTATGTATCATCAAATGTTTTTTATTTTTTTCTAAAAAGTATTTTCATCAAGACAAGCAATGTTCCCTTGACATCTAATAATATGCTAATCATGTGTAATGCTAAGGATGGCGGGTGGATAATTTGAGACAAGACAATGCAACCGAATCCATATTTACAATTATGTAGTTATCTCTGATGCACTGATGGGATCATGGGAGAAAGAAAAATTTCCCCTAGAACATCATTTGCTTGTAACATCACTGACGTGTTCACAGGCCAACAACCTCAAAAATGGCCCAAAAAGAAGTGATAGCGTCAAGCTTGTGCACTGAACAAAATGATGCCTCATAATAGCAACCCTTGCTTGTGCCCCTGAAAAAAAAAGAGTAAAGGAAAAACTTAAAAAGTATCTTTGAGAAATTAAATCTTTAAAACAAGGAAATCACAAACAAGACTAGGATAACTTGCAAGGGTAAACCCGGGCCAGGATGTTAGCTTGAGAGCTCAGCCAGGGTCCAGAAAAATATCAGTAGAACTTTTGTTACTCAGAACAAGAAATATGATGTCCATGATTTTAACTAACTTGCAACAATTATACAGCTATAAATTGTTGCTTTTATTAGAAGATGTTAAGAGCAGGAAAACACATTCCTTGAAATACTGAAACGTGGTTAAGTCTAAGCTCAACTCATTTGTGCCAGCTTCCATACGTGTATGGGAGGAAACATATGTAAAGTTTACCTAGTAAACCGAGAGCATAGCTTCTTCTTACTCTGACTTCTTAATCTCTTGGAATCTTCTTTCCCATTCTCGTCCCTCGTAATCTTGCTCCATCAAGTCTCTGTCAGTACTATATACAATGCGATCCTGTCCTATGACTGTTTTCTGGGCCATATCTCGAGCACTCCGTAGCTTGACAGATCACATAATGAAGAAACAAGTTATTATTCCTCATGAAGTAGTTTTACCTATTCTATATCTGCTCAACAATCTTTTATATAAACAAACTGTGACTGGACGTAATTCTATCATAAGTTCAGAGGAATTTAAATTGGAAACAAAATTTCAAAATTAAACCTAAAAACAAAAAATGGAATATTCCCATGCTGCATATTTCTGCGGCCATCAGGACCCAGGGTCTCTTTTCCTCTCTCCTAACCAGGTGTACAAATTGATACAGCATGCAAAGAATGCACACCGGTGATCCACAAGCACTGGTGCATAATACATGTAAATAAGTAAGAAAAGAGGTGCAACTGGAAACAAAGATCATAACATTGAAAACACTCATAAGTTATCAGTTGAGACATAAATTACATAATTATTGCTAAGTTTTTCACAAACACATGTAAGTAACAGGAAAGAGTAGGGACGTACTATGGAAAATGCAAATCATGAATAGGACCCCCAATTAATTATTACTAGAAGCTAGCATAATAAAGGTGCTAAATTGCTACCTTCCCCCTCAACAAAGGATTGGGCAATTCAAGTGCTTGAGCAAATTGTTCTCTTGATTTGTTTCTCTTTTCTATATCAGCATTCCTCTTCCAAATGATTATCCACCGGATCAAAGGAATTATAAAGAAAGAACCAGCATAGATCTGCAAAATTAACATCAGAAGCATTTAGGGAATTGCAAAGTCAAACCAGACTTATTTTGTAAGAGATCAGTTGTTAGAGATAGAAAACTTAAACTATATCAACTAAACCATTTATAACAGTTAAAAAGCGAACTATCTAATCAAACCTGAAGTAGGGGTGACATGTAGGCAACTAATTCAATAAATGCACCTGCAAGTCCATTCGGACTAATGGTAAAATCCCTTCAAATAAAAATAAAAGTGGAGCCATTAGAGGGCTAGAAAGTTAGAAGCAGGATCTAAACAAAATTTTGTCAAGAGGGCTTACTACAACATTCTTCCAAGAATGATAACTAGAAAGTTAGAAGCAGTATCTAACCAAAAAGGTAGAGGACTTACTGTAACATTTTTGTAAGCAAGATAACTCCAAATAGATTAATCGCACCCAAACCAATGATCATTGCTCTCTCCAAGTCATTTGTCTTACTACAAAAGATAATCTATCTATATTATGGAACTCAATAACAGCACAAACCAGATGTAATAAATAGAACTAAAAAATGTGAAGAAAAAAAAATAAAAACCTGAATTGCCACTTTTTCTCCTTGAAATATTTCTCAACTCTCCCAACCCAGTCATTGCATCTTCTTACAACATATTCATTACTT